CAATACACCCACAACAAAAACACACTGATCACCATAATCACCCATCTCCTGAAAAGGACAAAAGCGGATCCCACAGCTATAAATACTGTACTCACCTCCCAAACAAACTGCACCAGAGCACAGAGTGTTAGTCCAGTCCTCTGAAGAGGCCGGCCACAGAGACTGGCGAAACGTTGGGAAGACCAACCTTCAGAACACGGCCAAAGAGCCCGAAAAATCCACAACAACCATTAGATCCCGGCCATGAAAGCCTTCGCGAATACATCTTTGCATTTTGCAAACATGAAGATGGGGAGAAGCAATGAGGGGTAAGTTCAATATTTGTTTGGAATACTCTATTTCATCCCCCCCCAGAAAAAGATGATTTCTCATTCTCTGTAGAGCATCTTTTGTTTTCAGTTCCGTAAAAGAAACGAGCCCTTTCACAATGTCTCGTCTCCACTTCCCGACAGCTTGATTTACCTGGTGTTACTTTATGAAATGAACAAAGCAGGCTGATGTTTTTTCATTGCCCTCAGCCTGGTCAGGTTTGGCAAGGAAATGATTTATTTATTTAGATATTGATTGAATTTGGCACCCAAACGAGGTAGCCTCTGCAGAAGATCTAGTGCAGAAGCAACATGGTTCAATCCGTCACGCTTTCTTGCAGCTGGTCCCATGGAATGAAAACAATCCTTGTTATATCCTTGGCTCGTGAACATGGCAAGTGTTCAAGCAGAGCCCATCCTAACAAGGTGGACACTCCCTTAGTCACGTAGGGTGATCAGCAGGCTGGAAACCAAGCCTGATGAGGAAAGGCTGAAAGAATTGGGCATGTTTAGCCTTGAGAAAAGAAGACTGAGGGGTGATAGGATAGCTCTTTTCAAAGTCTTGAGAGGGAGTCTTACAGAGGAGGAGCAGGATCTGTTCTCAATCATCCCAGAGTGCAGGACACGCAAGAACGGGCTCAAGTTAAAGGAAGCCAGATTTCGGTTGAATATCAGGAAAAAACTCTTAACTGTTATAGCAGTACGGCAGTGGAACCAGTGAGCCTGGGAATTGGGAGTGCTCCAATACTGGAGGCATTCAACTTGAGAGGGAGTCTTACAGAGGAGGAGCAGGATCTGTTCTCAATCATCCCAGAGTGCAGGACACGCAAGAACGGGCTCAAGTTAAAGGAAGCCAGATTTCGGTTGAATATCAGGAAAAAACTCTTAACTGTTATAGCAGTACGGCAGTGGAACCAGTGAGCCTGGGAATTGGGAGTGCTCCAATACTGGAGGCATTCAAGAAAAACCTAGCAGTGGAACCGGTGAGCCCGGGAATTGGCGAGTGCTTCAATACTGGAGGCATTCAAGAAAAACCTAGAAGATCTGCTTGGATGGTCTTCCTGCCTTGAGCAGGGGGTTGGACTTGATGGCCTTGTAGGCCCCTTCCAATTTTTCTATGATTCTATTTATTCTGTATTTGTATCTTTATTGTTTTGTCCACTCTGGTCATCCAGCTTCCACCAATTTAAAACCTAAGTACAAATCTCTATATATTCTGTAATTTGTATCTTTATTGTTTTGTCCACTTTGGTCATCCAGATTCCACCAATTTAAAACCTAAGTACAAATCATAATATATATACAAGCATGGTGCCAGCTGAACAAACACAATGTGAGCAGATTAAAAAGTGCAAATACAAATATGTACATTCTCCAAAATGCTGGTTTAAAAACAAAGAGATTAAACTGTACACATAATTTGAATTTTAAAAGCCAAGTCATTTCATGTGAGTCTTTACATGAGATATGAGGTATTCCCATGACGTAAAAGTTTATTATAGCCACTGGCTCTTAAAACCACGAACATAGACATGTACATTCAAATGCACAATAAAATGATATCACAATAGTAAGGTTGTACATCTCATAAACTATAGAGCCTTAGTTATGGCATTTGCCAGTAAGGGTTTACTATCTCCTTGTATTGCCCTGATTTATGAGTTTAAAAAATTCTGGGGTGAATTCCAGGTGACAGCGCATGGCCTGTGCATGGTTTTCAGGCATGCTCAGCTGCCGTGCAAGGCGTTGACCTGAACTTCCCTCAAAACAGGAGTGGCAGATACCCTGAAGGTCTTCTTCTCTCCCCACTCCTTGGACCCATAAGTATGGCACACAATGCCACCCTGCGTTGTCTTCTCATGTTTTAAAGGTGAAGAGGAGACTCCTAATGATGTTCTCTCCAGAGGGATGATTCGCAGACATGGCTCTGGTTCATTTGGGAAGGGGGCCAGCTGATAAAATGGTTCCGGGGGCTACTTTTGAAGGAAAGGAGAAGGGCCTTTGTGGGTTTTGCCTCTGTAGTCTGAAGGTGGGGGCAGGGGAGATACCCAAAGAATCCTGTGTTCGAATCCCTGCTCAGCCATGGAAGTTCACTGGGAGAGGAGAACTGTTAAAACCACTCCTTAATTATCTCATTTGTCTTGAAATCCCCGTTCTAGTCACTATAACCTGTTCTAGTCACTAAATCCCCATTCTAGTCAACAGAACACATTATGTATGAGAATATATTATTTTGTTTTGTTTTCTTTAAACACCTATCACCTTTCTTTCTCCCGGGATTAAGGTACCATAATACAGTTTTGCTCTCTCCATTGTAAACAACAACAACAATCATCGTCGTCGTCATACATCACTACATCCAAAAAGTAATGTGGACAGATTATATTTACCACGAAAAATCAGAGGCCGTGGATTACTGCAAATACAGCAGGTAGTAGAGGAGGGAGTACAAGCAGAGAAAAATTACGGTATTAAAGGTGGTGAAAATGGAGAATATTTTGAAAACAACAGAAACAAAGTCTCAATATAAGAAAGAACAATTTGAAAATAAAGAGCTGGGAAAAATAAACCACTACATGGACAACACCTGAGAAATATTGATGGAAAGCATGATCCTAATTCAACATGGGCATGGCCAAAACTGGAGACCCTTCAGAAAGAAACCGAAGGCTTGATCTTTGCTGCACTAGAACAAGCACTCCCAACCAACACTGAGAGCTAAGATCCAAGGAATTAGTGCTAATAGCAAATGTCGACTCTGCCAAGAAAAAGATGAAATTGTGTTACACCTCATGACAGAGTAGCAAAATTAGTGCACTGGTCATTATGCAAAAAAATAGAACTTGTCAGCCTTCAAAAGCTGGTGGGAACATCAGTTAGAAAAGATGTCAGAAAATGAGGAAGTCATGATTTTGTGGGATTTCCGGATCCAAACGGACAGAAGACAGACACCTTGAACATTACACACCAGACATAGCAGTAATAGAAAGAGGAAAGGTCCAGATCATTGACATTGCAATTCCAGGGGATGCCAGAGTTGAAAATAAAGAATTGGAAAAACGAACAAAATCCAGAGACCTGGCCATCGAAACATCTTTTTTGTGAATGAAACACACTTATGTGATTCCCCCTAGTCACTGGGGCTTTGGGAACCAGATCAAGAAACTTCACAAAGTGTTATAAGCAGTTGCAGATCTCAGAAATCCCACCATCAGAGCTACAAAAAATGGCCGTATTAGGAACAGCACACCTACTGAGCCAACATTTAACAGATAATTAGTTTTTTGGTTCAAAGGTGTATGTGCTGTATAATACAGTATCAGTCCATGTTTTTATGGTTTTGACTGACTGTGCCTGGTGTTTTCTAATAACAATAAAATCTCTACAAGACTGTTGTAAAGGGATTCACAACCCCAGCAGGGGTCAAACAGAAAAAGGGTGAAAATAACTGGGTGCCCCCTTCCCACCCTTCTGGATGGTTGCCACCGCGCTATCCTCGGCAGGTCTACTCGGAGGCAAGCCACCCTCCGGGGGCCTGCTGTAAAGGGGCCAAGGAAGAGAACCCCCCTAGATGGGGTTGAACCCCAGTCACGCGA